GTTAAGTCGTGTTTTAAAAGAATGGTATACACAGCACCACAGTCAGTTCTGGAGCATCCTCCCCCCTCCTGTATTCATGTCCCTCCAACTTCCCCCCTGTCCACCCCCTACCACTAACCCCCAGCTGGTTTCTTGGTTCCTTGAGGACCTCTATTACAAAGAATTCATTTTCAGTGTGATAATTGTGATTATAAACATAAGAAGTTTCATGTCAGGGTAACCCGACATGGTAGTGTCGGGAAGAGACTTCATTAAATGTAAACCCCCTCGCCCCTTACAGTTACTCTTATTCTCCTGGTTGCTATCAGGTGCATTCAAGTCGGTTCTGGCTCACAGCGACCCTACCTACGTACAACAGGAAGAAAGACTGCTCGGTACCTGTCATCGCCCACAGTCGTTGCTACTACGCTTGCCCATTGTTGCAGGCACTGTGTCAGTTCATCTCCCTGAGGGGCTTCCTCTCTTCTGCCAAGCTCCTGCTTTACCACACAGGATGTCCTTCTCCAGGGACTAGCCCCTCCTGAGAATAAGTGTTTCAGGGTGCAAAAGAGACCCCAATCTCAAATATGCTTTAAGGAGAACATTTCTTAATTCTTAAACCAAGACAAGAGACATACCATCCAGATGAGAGAGGCCATTAGCACGAGGTCCTAATGGTGTCCAAGGGTTCCTAGCCTCACTGCTATTTAAACAAGGCATGGCCCACAAAGGAAACCATCACAAATTCATGCTTGTGATCAATACATCACAGTTACAGGTGGGACTGCAGAATCGGGACTGGGACCATGATTGGGAAACGTACATCATGTTAGACAGAAGAGCTTACAAGATTGGTCCAGATTCTTTCAAGTCAGGCTGTGACTCGTGACTGTGGGCCCCCCAGTAAAGTGATCACCTTCAAGGACACATCCAGGCAAGCCCCTAAGGGAGACTACCCCTCCCTGGGCTGGCTGCGGAGGGATGAAGGGTGGAGGAAAGCCACTTTTCAATGCACTCTGCCTGAGCACAAGACTTCACATCCCTAGTTAGTGGTCAGAAGAAATAAATGGAGCTTTGATGCACGTGGGGATTCTGCAGATAGCTTGGGGGCTTTTACTGTCATCTACAGTGTTGTTGTTGTTGTTGTTGTTGCTGTCGTTAGGGGCCGCCAAGTGGATTCCAACTCACAGAGACCCGATGAACAACAGAACAAAACACTGCCTGGTCTGCCTGGTTCTGTCATCCATGGCCTTCTGCAAACAGGGGGCTCAGAATTTAAGCTCTCACACACTTGTTCAGAGTGGACAGTGTGGCCATCCTCACTTTCAAGAAGTATTCTAGCTGCACTTCCGCGAGACAGATTTGTTTGATCTTCTGGAAGTCTCTGATACTTTCACTATTCTTTGACAGCACCATCACTCAGTGCATTGATTCTTCTCTGGCCTTGCTCATTCAGTGTCCAGCTTTCCTGTGCCTATGAAGACACCAGGCCTGGATTAAGGGGCATCTAGCCTCTTTAACGCCTCAAAGCCGCCCTGTGCAGCAGGCTTGCCCAGCACAGTACATTGTTTGGTTTCTTGACGGCTGCTTCCATGAGAGTGATTGTAGGGGCAAAGTCAAGTGGAATCCTTTCCAACTTTCATATTTTCTCCATTTATTGTGATGTTGTTTACTAGATTGAACAAATATGATGAATAAATAAATGAAATAGGATGATAAATATGATGTATG